ACTTTTTGCGGATGGGTCGACTTCGAGCGAATCTGGGCGTGAGCTTGGGGAAAGGCGACTTCACACAACCTGCGTTGACTTAACCCCAGCGCCTTGTACCATCAACCCCCCGTGTTATCCATGTTCACCTTCTTTGATCCACTTCCTCCGAAGGGGTTGAGGGGGGATTAGCGAGCGCAGCAGCTGATGTTGTGAGCATTACAGTATATGGTTCATAAGGGGAGCCCCAGATTTGGCGGAAGGCTGTAGATGTGTATGTCATAACTACGAGCCCTTGTCGCGGGCTGTGAGTTGCAATTCAGAGCTCCTGTGTATAGAGCTCCTCTTCTTGTTTACTAGATATCCAAGCGAAACAAATCCTGGAGGGCGTGGGGGTGTATAGTATTACGCACCCTTTACTCTTGTAGTAGGCAAGCCAGCTTCAGTTGGATAGCAACCGAGATGAGGCATCATGAGGATGATGTAGGGCCCTTGAAGCCTTTAGAATAGAATTTGGTGTCAACTAGACTCTAACTAGACCATAAGGTTGGGTAACTATTCAGCGTTCTACATAAGTTACCTGATGAACGGAGGTCCGCTGTATTTCCTGCCGTCCTCTTTCTCGCAGCAACCGTGCCGGTACGAATTCATCCCTCAACATAGGCACGTAGGCTGCTTCAGCAACTATGCAATGTCAGGGGTCAAGGATGTTCGAAGTACTGCAGGGATTTGCGACAGCTCCTACGATGACGTTTATCACGAGGTCATGCTCGCACATACAAATTCATCTAGATATGCTGTAGTATATTCCTGAAGCTCCTGGTCTAGCTTAAACCCTAAACCCTAAATCCTTAACCTTAAACCCTAAACCCCAAATACCCTAAACCTATCTAGGCCACGACAATCCATGGCAGCAGAGGTGAGTAGTATTTGATTTGGGCATACTATGGTACCCAATATAGACCCCAAGATATTATAGTCCTTATTATGGGGACCCCCAAACATGTACGCTTGATATTGGGAAACCTTCAGGTGGGGTATAATATTTTATATAAGGAATATAATCTTACTGGGTTTAACCATCCCTAAACCCTAAACCCCAAGGTGAAGAACCACTCCAACATGACCGCCACCTTTGAGGCCGAGAGAAGGGTTTTAATTCTTTAGGGTTGAGGGTTTAGGGTTTAGGGAGCCCAAGGGGCTTACAAGTTGTAAAATGTAGTTCAAGGTTTTGTGGATTACATAGGTTGCAAGATATAGTTTAAGGTTTTGTGGGTTCCAAAATCTAGTTTTAAGGTTTTAGGGTTCCAGGTGCCCAGACTAAGCTAGAAGGCTTGTCTTTCTCGTCGGGATTCTGCCAATCCCAACATCGAGCCTGGGCAAACCTTTTGATAGACTCCTATCATAACGTGGTATAACCAAGTGTAGAATTATGTGTGTGTATATATATACATATACATACACGTATACACACCCTCATTTATCCTTGTAGGATCCATTATTTGCGGGAGGTATTTGCGGGAAGTTCTTTTCTGTTACGAGCACGCTTTAGGGTTCAGGTCTTGACAGCTTTGGCGGCAGGGATGTAACTTTACAAGCCCGAGCAATTACCGATATCATGGTCCTAGGTCCGAATTCCTCTTAAATTCACATAGATTAGGGGAAGCGTCCCTCACCCGAAAGCCTTGCATGGGCAGGTTGAGAGTGACCTGGTGCACATCTCCGGCCCCTCCTCGATCCAGGTGTGTGCATGGGCTGAGGGCTGAGGTGTTTGATTTATGTGGAAGAAGTATGAGAAGTGGTTCAGGCGTAGGAGAGTCCCATACAGGGATGAGAAGCAACACTTCTTGCCCCAACATAATCCGTGTATGTGCAAGCCACCAAAGGTATCTCAACACACAAGTGTCAACCATAGAATTTGGGGAGTTAGAAGTGTATAGCAATTAGAAGTGGGGTTGTTAGAGTATGGCCTTTAATAGAGGATCTAATGTTTTAATCATCCAGGAGTCTCGTTACTTTGAGAAGCACTGGCTAGAACTGCACAGACTATGTAAGGGCCCGCGTGCACCCTTGGGATTTGTGGGGATTACAAAGGGATTGTGGGAGCCCCCCTTTGGGAATTTTGGCGATGAAGACGTTGGACTGCAAGGGAATGTAGACAGCCAAGCAGCAGGATGACAACGACCATGACTTCTGAAAAAGCTGCCAACAAACGCCTCAAATTGTAGGCCAGCGGAGTTGAGCTTCGCTGAGAAGGGGATTTGGTTACCCCCAACCCACCAACCATGGACCATGTGACTATGATATGATTCTTGTGTCTATATCATAGGAGTCAGGGTTACCAAAATCCTGATGACCGCCGATAACTTATCATCATGCCCTATACAAAGCCCCAGGTCTCGTTTCATTTTCCATGTTCGTGTCCACTTGAAGCACTCTTATTGGGGCAATATTCTACAACCTGCGAAACCCTATAGCCGGGCCCTATAGCCCCTAGTATATCCTCATCATAGACCCCTTAGTGGCCGTCTCGTTGTGCAGGTGTAGAGAAGCCCAGAACCTGACTAAAAAGGCCAAAGCAAGGTACCACTTAAACCCTAAACCCTAGAGCATTTTATGGCCTGAAGGGCGAAAAGTAGGCATTCCTTGCAGACTTTGACCAAAAGCCCCCCTGAAAGATGATAACCTGATGTTCATCCCTGAGGATTAGGGATTAGGGCACGCGGTTTAGGGTTTTGGGTTTAGGGTTTAGGGTTACCCACATGGAACTACGTATATTGGTCTGCATACCCCTCAGACCAAAGTTCTGACGAGGTGGCCCTTCGCTTGCTATGCATGTAGACCTCTCTATGATGCAAGGTACCAGTTTAGTTTTATCCTCTTCCATTTTATGTTTCCAACCCTGATCTACAGTAGAATCTGAATCTGGTAGGTTCAGGGCAAGATTAACCTACCTGTGACTGTGCTTATGGCTCAGTTGTGAGCACCCTAATCAAACATGGAAATGACCGGGCTAAGTACTGGGCAAAGAGAACCAATGAGCTTCCAAGTAGTCAGCGAAGGTTCATGCCGTTGCTCAACCGTCTACACAGATACTTCTTCTTGACACTCACAAGCCCCCAGACCTTGAGCTCCAAAACCGCCATCCTAGATGAGCGGCCCTAATCCCAAGTCGTAAGTCTTAAGCATTCTCAAGCCTTGAGCACCAAACCCCACACCCAAATTCTAAATCTTAAATCCGAAGCCCCGAACCCCTCAATCTCAAAACCCATAGACCTTACATCCTGTTGTTTTCATCATGATTTTAGAAGTGAAACCTCAACCCTAAATCCGTAGAACTGAAACCCTAAACCTTAAATCCTTAGAACTGGAAACCCTCCACCCTTGGGCCAGGTAGACGGCCGTGGCACCGGGGAGTACGAACTCGTCTTTCAGCCTCTTCAGGCTGGCCAGGTTACAGGCCCAAGGGAGGGGGGGGGGCTTAGGAGCCGTAGGATATTGGTTGGGGATGTTGGGTTTAGGGTTTAGGGGATATAGTGTTTAGGTATATAGAGTTTAGGTGATATAAGATTTGGGACGGTTTTGGGGTTTGGGGATTTGGGACGGGGGATAAGGATGTAAAGATGACAAGTTTGAGTGAGATCACACCGCCAAACTCACCCAGTATGATCAAAGTCGCAAATTGCCGTTTCCGAGATCGATGTCCTAAAAGTGTGGATCATGGTTTAGAGAACTACAAGTGCTTGAAGTTCAACAGATTCCGGATTTTGGGAAACCCTAAAACCCTTATATGCCCCTATTTACCCCCCGTATAATCCCTATAGTCCCCGTTAAAGGTACCCTTAGTAGCATAGGCATAAGGGTTTCCTCATCCTGCCGCCCACACGCATGCCAGGCTGCATCATGTTCCGGGACACGCACACTGGGCACTTCACGTGGTACACGGCACCTTGCCTGCGAAGACTGTGAAAGGGCTTAGGTATCTCCATGACTTGCTGTGAGGCTGTCTCAGAGAGTTCTTAGCTATGTGGGTCATTGTTGGATAATAGAACAGAATTACGAGTTCTGAAGCTGTGCCAATAAGAAAGCAGTCAGTGCTTATATGAACCTTGGTTAGGGACCACTCAACTCCGTTGTGCAATCTGAACCTTGGCTGAGGTTGAGCTGATGACGCTTCCCCCGAAGCCACAGCAGCAGCTGACGCTGACCTGCGTGGTGCGACAGGCAGGGATGAGACCAGGGGGTAGGGTTTATACTTGGACCTCCAAAAGTAGGTAAGTTCGCGGCTCTATACCCACAATTCAAATGAACAAGAGCATGGAATGCCATTATTCCACATACTCTCTGCAGTTCAAGTAGTCTTATGAATTCAGGGAGGCCTAAATATATTTCAATGGGGTATTGAGGCATGTTCTAAAAATAGGCACCGAAGGATTGAGTACAAGGGTTTGTTCCAAAGCTTCCTCACTATGTTGGTTGTTCCTACCCGTTCCAGGTTTCGTCCGGATACCTTGCCATAGGAACCTGGACTTGCCTGTATACCTAGACCCTCCCACGTGAGCTATAATCTAAACGCCAGGAGCATTATACGGCTCTGTAAGGGGGATACTAGGAGTTTAGAGTAGATGTAATGTCTGTTTTTAGGTGTCCTGATAGTCATAGCCAATGACCTAAAACCTAAACACCTTACCAATCCCAAAACGGCACAGCATTGGAGGGTCCAGGTGGTCGCATACAACATCATTAGCATATTGCTGGTCAAGATAGGACCCTATAATCCAAAGGCCCAAGGTTACATATCCTTTTTTCAGTTGTCCTTTATAGCATGGGCTGTCTGCATATAAGATAAGGTAAAAAATGGATCACATTCCTACGCCACAGGCGGTGGCTGTTGACATTCAGCTGGTGAATCCCCTAGATGATGTGGTGGTTTTCGAGGCCGGGTGTGGGCTTCGAACAGGGTGGTTGAGGGTTTAGGGGCTTGGATGTCCCTGGTGGGGAAGTAGACTTGGGGTTCAAACTGGGGCCAGTCACTACCTTCTATACTTGTTCTAAATGTCATCCAGGTTAACAGCTGGAGTGTGCTAAGCTTGTAGCCTCTTGATTCAGGATCCTGTTTGAAGGTGTGCTTTTTACCTCACGATTCGGAGTGTGTTCAACCGTGTCGTCGATTTGTTGGTATAGGATGCATGGAGCACAAAGGCAGAGATGTGTCTTGATATACATGACCAGATAAAGAGGACTTTGGTGGCTTATATTTATTGAGCCCTCGTTTTGTCAGAAGACTTGCTCATCCAATTTCACTCGTCTAGAGACTATTCTGGCGCTTGTGTGCTAGTGTTCAAGGTTTTGCAATCATTTCGCGCCGGCGCACCCCCAAGATGCACGTCTAGCAGTAGTGACTGCCCAAGGGCGCGTTGACCTTTGCAAAGCAGTAGTGGGTGACGCAATTACCCTTTATGTTCTTTCAGAAGCATCACCATCTAGGCCACGTACTCACTACAAGGCTCAAATCGCACATGCTTGGCTACCGTAGAAGGCAGAATAGCTTTACAGTGAGAATTCCTCCCAACCCCCAAATCCTAAAACCCCAAACCATTGCAACCCCCGAACCCTACAAAACCTCAACTCTCACACCGCAGAAACATCCACAAGCGCTATGTCCTCAGTTCGTAACAAATCGAAAAGGAACCCCTAAATCCCACCTTGCAATCTCTTCCCCTCTACGCCTGGGGTGCCCAGGCTACCCCAGTTTTGACGGACCCCCAAACCCTAAGCCCTAGACCCAAAGCAACTAGCATCACTATGAGTATTCTTCTAATATCTGCTATTACTCATTACTACGATTATGAGCATTATTTGTTAGGTGGACCCCCCACCCTGTAATAGCGACTATAAGGGATAGTAAGGGCTGTATTAGGGTCCTCTTATGTTCCTACTATACCACTATTGCAGGGTGGGGGGTGCTCCTAAACTATTTGTTCTACCCTAAACCGTAAACCCTAAACCCCTAAAACCCTAAACCCTAGACCCTAAACCCTAAACGGCTAAACCCCTAAACCCTAAATACATTATTTGTGCTGTTATTTAATAATGTGGGCCCAGGTGGCCTTGAACGGTGATGGTCTCCTCGGGGAGGCGGGATTTCTAGGGGAGTGGATTCTTTGATTCGAACAGCGTGTTGTTATGAAGGGGATACCTGGACCCCAAAAGTATGTAAAATAATGGCCTTTATGGCTATTATTAGGGATTTAGGGCTATTATTTTACATACTTTTGGGGTTTAGGTATGGGGGTTTACATATGGCTAAGGGTTTGGAGACATTCCACATATAAGGGAGAACCACATGGAAAAGAGAACTAGGTATATGTGGGGTTTGCTGTAGGCCCTGTATGCAGGAACATATGGGGCTCGATGGGATTCGGGGGTTGGGACTGAGGGAGTGGCGTTTAGGAGAACCCGGCAGCATGCCCTGTCAAGTATGAACCCTGTCCTCTCAACCCTTCGTCACTGAACCTTCCCCTTGCTGGTTGTTTGTGCCTAAACACACAAAATTTTGTACAATATTGTTCTTTTAGGCTATTTTTCGGTGTTTTGGGCTATTGTTTTACCTACTCTCGGGTCCAGGTATAGGGGCATGAAGGAATTATTCCTAAACCCTAAACCCTGGACCGATAGTAACCTTGATGGAGATTATGCAAGGGCTACTGTGCGGATCCCTTCCTCCACTCTCTACACAAAGCAACAGTCATAGATGTATGTAGGCCCCCCCAAGCTCAAATTCCCCGCAGTAACTTTGGAGACCCCTTATCAGCACAGTTGGACCCCAAGGTTTAAGCCCCAAATCCCAAATCCGAAGCAGCAGTTCGGATTTTCTTTTCCATCCCACTGTTCCTTACGAAAAATATTGATTCTTTGAACATCGATGCCGTGCTTGGCAAGGCTGAGTTCGTGTTGGCCCCGAAAGAGACCGCCACATATGAGCTGGCTGGGGTCCTACTAGAGATGGTCTTGTGGTGGCTGTAGGGTTTACGTAGGGTCTGTGGGAACCCTGGAGGGTATGGAGGGTAATATGGGACGACCTGGTTATGTAGGGTGTAACATATAAGGACTGTATACTAGTATAAGAGCTATATTGGGTAATGGGAGTATAAGGGTCCCCTTCTCGGGGTGCCTCCGCAGAGCCTTCGAGATGGGTGGCATTTTTACTATAGATCCCAATAGAGGATGAGATAATATGTCATCTTGGAGTATAGTAAAGTATTCCATAAGAAGGATATGGTAGTTTCCCTGAATAAGGAGACCCCAATATAGACCCCAAAATACGATAATCCTTATTATGCGGACCCTGAAAAAAGGTATCCCTAATTTTGGGAAACTACCATATAACCTTACCTGCTTCAACCACCAATATAACATCTCTGAGCTGATCTTGAACCACCTTGCAGGCTCTGAACCCTCAGAGTTACGTACTTGGGAGATTTTGCAACTCTTAGTGGGTTAGGGGTTTAGTTGTTTTAGTTCAGGGTCCCCATCAGCCGAACATGGAAGGTTGATGATGACTCTCACTTTGGGGCAGATGCAAACATGTCATGGTTCAGAATTCAGGTCTTAGGACTTAGGTTAGGTTCCATGAAACCTACATGGGCCAGTTGTGTCGCCCACAATTTCAGGGCATGTAGTATAACGTTGCACCTGATACTTATGCTATGCAACTGCATGGCCAAGATATGGCCATGGCAAAGGTTGTCAGGAAGGCTTCCAAGGTCCAGGAGTTGATTTTCTGGCTTGGTGCCTGCGATCTAAACAAGTTTGTGAAGCTTGCTCCGCTGTAAAACGCATTGAACAGTTGCATGCATGTTTCAGCTCTGAAGGTTGTGGGCGCTTTTCTTTTGCTACTCGATCTTTTGGGTCTGGGGTTCAGAGTTATAGGCCCCGAAGGGCCCAAACATTGCCAGCACCCTGGAAGCCCATCTAGCTCCTTCTCAAGGGCAGGAGTCTTTACTGGGCACGCTCCAGGGTTCCACAATAGTTTTGGGCGGAGTGTTGCCTACAATTGAAACCTTCAAGTGTTGCCGGCATGGATCCTGCAGCCCAAGCTCCAAGCTTCGCAGCAGGAGAGAAAAACGCCGCACTTGGCAGTACTCTGGAGGACAACGACAAGTGAACATTTGTAAACGCTGATTGTGCTTAGATCTCCACACCTCTGCGCGGAGTCGCAACAAAAGAGGCTCTAAGTGGCCCTAGGGATATGTCGTGACTATGCACGTGCCCTCAATGATATAGGCACCAGTTTGAGCAAATTCCATAACAACCCTGAATGCGTAAACCCTTAACCTGCTACCGTAAATCCTCGAACCTCCTCACCCCGAACCCCTAAACATCGTACAGGTTTTTTGGGTATTGCCCAGGCTTGCCATTGCGGTACCTTCGTAGCCTTTTTTTTAATAATCTTTTGGTTTCTTTAATAAAAACCGGCCACTTGAGGAACTATGATTAGAATTAGATTTGATTAAAATCGTTTCGGTTTTAAAATAGAAGTTCTGTGTTGGTATACAAAACAGGTTCGTTCAAATATTTGTTCCTTGCTCGATCTGGTGTAGGGAGCTGTTTACAAACCCTCCTTAAGCTGCTTTTGCCAGGGGTGGGGGTCTCAAGTTCGCGGGTAATTTATACCTTAGGAGGACCCCCCCCCCCACCCTGTAATAGTGGTATAATAAGAACATAAGAGGTCCCTAATATAATCCCCATTATCCCTTATAGTCACTATTACTGGGTGGGGGGGTCCACCTAATTTATAGCTCCGTTAACATGACGCTGGGCCCTTCATTCACGCCGAGGTGTTTAGCCCGCTTCTTCCAGCGCGGACAAAGGGCACGGCGGTGTTCTTCAACGAGGTTGTAGGCTGCCGGCTACACCCCGCAGCCGGTCATTGTGGTCTAGGATGGTTAGGGTTGAGGGTTTAGGGTTTCGGATTTAGGGGCTTAGATTTAGGCCAGGGCTTCTGTAGACCCTCCTATATACAGTATCTTGATGGGTGTTAGAAGGTCATTCATAGCCAGAACAAGAGGTATCCAGGTAGGGCTCAGGGTTTGCAGTTCAGGGTTTAGGGTTAAGGCTTTGGGTTTAGGGTTTTGGGGTCAGGGGGTTTGGGGTTTGGGGTTTAGCGTTTGGTGAAGTTTGACGTTTGAGCTTTGAACAAGTAGGTCTAGCTTAGGTGGGAAGTCCTTCTAACATGGATTCAGACTAGATTTCGGGGAGCCCCCAATTCTTTGGAAATAGCCACATGGCGCCCAAAAGGCACCCCTAGAACCCCCAAGGGGCTGTAAGCGGATTATATACGGGGATACAGGAGGGATCAAGGTCCAGGGCCTAGGGTTTTCCCAAACATTAAAGGGACTCTACTGGGAACCCCAAACCGGGAACCCCAAGAATATAGCAGGAATATAATGGAATATAAGGACCCTGGTAGGTATATTCCTATTATATACCTACTATACTCTTGAGGTTCCCTATTTGGGGTTCCCAGTAGAGTCCCTTTAAACATTGAGTCCCGTTCGGGAGGCCCCCGGAGTGGCACGGCCACTCTTTCTGGAAACCCCATCAACGTTGTATACGTAGGTGGTTTTTAAAAGCCTTGGTGAGCTCCGTAAACCAGCAAGCGCACATTTTGCTTCAAAGCCTCAAAAGATGACCTTTTACCATCCGGGAGTTGTTCCACAGGTCCTTGAAAAGGAGGAGACATTGGGACTACACTTCCCTAAAGGAGAACCTAACCAAAAGGGACCCTACCTTGTGCTCATTTTGGGGACAGGTATTTTGAGCCACTACCACGTATCTAAGTCGAAGTCTTCCATCACAAACCAATGCTTCGACTGCTGCATGAGCCCGTTCATATCGCATTTGATGTGCTCAGTTGCAGATGGTAGCAGGTTGACGGATTGTCATACTTAAAGCCTCTGCCCCTGAGAATGGAAATTTCAGCCTCTTTATGTAGATGTTCCCATATGTTCCCATTGTGTTATACTATGTGTTATACTACACGGAACTGGGAATTATTATCACAAGGCCGGCGGGTAGTCCAATACCAGGTGCGGATTATGAGTTCTTCAGGGCAACCCAAAACCTTCAGAAACTTAGGCCCACCGCAGCACTCCATCCCAAGAAGGAGATCTGATCGCGACAGCCATACCCATGGATCTGAAGATGATCATGAATGAAATGCCCTAATCCCTGCAATCCTAGACTTTAACATGTCCAGATTATCCCCATAGACCGCTCTATACTTCTATATAAGCCTTTTACCTGTGTGCGTGTATATATTTACATATCTGTATGCATCTTCCCATGTATTCATCCGTTCTTTCCTCCATATCCCTCTATCGCTCTATTGAACCCTTTACATCTCCCCTGGACCCTAAACCCACCCAGAGCATCCTATATGGTTCCTTCTTGGGTATTCCGTAATCCGTTGCCGAAATCCAGAACAACACCAAAAGGAGCTACATAAGAGCTTTTGGGTTTGCATATATAGGCCCCTAACCCCTAAACCTAAAAACCCTAAACTCTAAACCCTAAACCCTAAACCCTACACACAAAAACCTTAAACTTTAAACCCTAAATCCCTTAAAATCCCTAAATCCCGAAATCCCTGAACCCTACAACGCGTGGCCAGGCGAGTTCTGGTACGACCTTTCCTTGGTCGCCGAGGCGGCGCCCCCGGAGGAGATCCCACTGATGCAGTGCGAGCTGGGAAGGACGCCAGCCCTCGGGTTTATGGGTTTAGGGGTGTAGGGTTTAGGTGTGTAGAGTTTGGGGTCTAGGGTTTAGGGTCTGGAGTTTAGGGTTTAGGGGCTTAGGGGTTTAGAGTTTAGGGTTCCGAGTGCGGAGTTTGGGGTTTAGGGTTTAGAGTCTCAGGGTCTAGGGTTT